ATTCGAATTCAAGAGCTCTGGCCACTGCATCCTGCATATTAGAGGGGTGTGCTTGCTTCATTTCTATCTTCAGTTGTGGACTGTCCAAGGCATCTACAAACTGATCCCTCAGCAACAACATGAGGACATCGGATGGTGCAGTTAGGTAGGCCTTGTGTGCCAGCTCTTCCCTTTAGCACAGACTCTAGTCCTAAGCCTAGCCATGTAGACTTCGGACTGATTTTGAGTTCCATACCTGAGTTCTAGAGCAGCTACCAGTGCTCTATAGTTGTGCCTGTCGTCTGCTGACAACTGTCCAAGTATTTCCAGTGGTTGTCCCTTCAGGCTCGTTGCCAGGTACACTGCTTTCTGCTCCTTTGTCCATCCATTCATTTCTGCCAGGAGCTCAAATTGTGCTCTATATGCTTCCCACGTTGCCTTCCCATCGAATTCCTGTGGCTTCCTTTGTACTAGATCACTCCTATTGCTGACACTCATGTCTGGAATGTGACTTCTGGCAGTACTGAAGATGTCTGCATTAGGGTTTAGCTGTGGGGTCTGGAAGGGGCTTCCTGTTGTCTGAGGCTGATTAGGTCCATGGCTAATATATCCTTCTTGTATAAAAGACAGTAAATCATCCTTTAATGTATTTAATTCGCTAAAAATTTACTAATCTTTTCCATTTGTACTTCTTGTTTCCTTTCTGGTTCCAGTTGCCACTGGTGCTGGTTTTCTTGCCTCTGCTGTAGTCTCTCTTCTTGTTTATTTTCTTTCTCCTCCAACCACTGCTGTAGTCTCTCCTCTTGTTTATTTTCTTTCTTCTCCAACCATTGCTGTAATCTCTCTTCTTGTTTCTTTTCTTTTGCCTCCAACAACTGCTGTAATCTCTCTTCTTGTTTCTTTTTTTTTCCTCCAACAACTGCTGCAATCTCTCTTCTTGTTTCTTTTCTTTTGCCTCCAACAACTGCTGCAATCTCTCTTCTTGTTTCTTTTCTTTTTCCTCCAACAACTGCTGCAATCTCTCTTCTTCTTTCTTTTTTTTTCCTCCAACAACTGATGCAATCTCTATTCTTGTTTCTTTTCTTTTACCTCCAACAACTGCTGTAATCTTTCTTCTTGTTTCTTTTCTTTTTCCTCCAATAACTGCTGTTATCTCTCTTCTTGTTTCTTTTTTTCCCTCCAACAACTGCTGCAATCTCTCTTCTTGTTTCTTTTCTTTTTCCTCCAACAACTGCTGCAATCTCTCTTCTTGTTTCTTTTCTTTTTCCTCCAACAACTGCTGTAATCTCTCTTCTTGTTTCTTTTCTCATTCTTCATGTTTCTTTTCTTTCTCCTCCATCCACTGCTGTAGTCTCTCCTCTTGTTTATTTTCTGTCTTCTCCAACCACTGCTGTAATCTCTCTTCTTGT